CAGGTGTAGATATGCACAGTAATCTCACAGTAATCTCTAATTGGCATGTCGTCAGGTTTTTAGAATACTTGAATGTTATTGCAGATATTGATTCACCTATAAACATGTATTCCCACATCACCACACCTCAGATCGTAATTTCCTTCTCTCCAAATTGCATATTTCTTGATATGCAGTGATTCATCCATGATATCATCATCATCAGTACCATTGAAGCAACCTGAATTATTGCACTCTCAAAGAATTCACTTTCTCGTCTCAAAAAGACAGAATTGGAAATAAAAGTTTGCAGTTATGAGTAAGAAAGCAAATAATGCAAACACAAATAATTACAGTCACGCTAACTTTCCATCACAAAATCCTTTACTTTACCATATCTTCACCTTTACTCTCGATCCTAGCTCTCTTCCCATTACTGTATATGTAACAGTTCCTGAGCTGTCCATTTTCTAATAGAAACAGTCCTTCCTTCAAGGTATCACCATTCTTGTCTACACATGCAGTAAACCTTGAAGTACACATATACGTGTCAATTCTCTTAGTAAACAAATTCAATCTACTCACTTAAAAAGCACCTTGAAAGTAAAAAGTAAGAAAATTACGTAAATTAAGCAAGCTTAAATATACGTCTGTCAAAAGCAACGATGTTCCACAAATGTCTTAAAAATTTTCTAAAAGCACAAAATAATAATAAAATTAGTCTTTGCAATATTTTATACTTTACATTTTTGCTTTTTTTCCATTAAAACTCGAAAACAAAAAATTATTATTGTGCATAATGGGAGAAGTTTGTTAAACTCACTTATTTGTAATACAAGAGATAACAAAATGATTTTGATGATAATCTTGTCGACTTCCGCAATTGCTGTTGTCTTCTTCTCCTGACCCTTCTTCACCTTTGACTTCATCATCCATACATGAATACTCGATATCGTTTTCCCAAAATGACTGAGTCATAAGAGGTATTACTGTTCCGCGATCACTCACACAGTTCAACACCTAGCATCGTTCGATATTTTAAATAATGATTCAGACTATTTAATTCGATCAAGTTCAAGTTTAATTTCACTTACGAGTACTTTCGATTTCGAGCAAAACATGCATTGAAGTTTTTTATATCACAAAGTAACACTCACTGAGGCGATGGTAATAACAGCGAATAATGTTGTTAATAATTAAAATAGTACCACATTACCGAGCATAACAAATGGACGATAGCAATAATAAAAATACTTTTGCTTTCAAATCTTTTTCACATATCATTATTATTATTATTACATTTATTATTTGTCGCATTACAATATTTATCATTTATTGCAATGCTGTAATAATGATAATAACAACAGTACTTTCCTCTAATAATTATTATCATTATTAGTGGAAATAATTATTATCATTATTAGTGGAAAGTACTGTTGCAGTACTGTTGATAATTGCTTGTCAAAGCTTAAACGAAAGTTATACATAGAAGGAAAAATATTTTAAAGAATGACCTCAATTTTTCCTTTTTTACAAGTCACATTAAAATGTTCGTCCTGAATCCAAATGAAGTTTTCAGGATAGTGAGATCCCTCATCAATGCAGTGTGAGACAATCGATGAAACGAAGATCAGCAATAGTTCAGTAATAATTATAAAATGATAATTGCCGAATATCAGGCAGTCATGACGATGATTTTCCATTAAACTAATTAAGACTGTAAGTTCGAGAATTCGGTAATTGGACGTGGGAAATTCGGTTGGTTAAATTTGGTTCTTATCCAAACTCAGTTCACGTAATTCTTCTTGAGAAGACTAAGTTAACAAATAAAATTTACAACTTTCCAACTCCCAATCCCGAAATTTTTTCTTCAAATTAGCTAGATATCGTCATGTGTTACTCTACATCGCAGCTTTTTCTCGGCTATGTATTAATAATATCAAAACTTCTTTCCTTCTTTTACACTAAATGTTTTTCTTTTTTCCGTAAAGTTGTGTTTTTCTGGAAATTTATGCAAATTAACAATAACGTAAATTTTATATGACAGTAAGCAGTTTATTGAGACCGTTTTTGTAATGTGTTTTCGTGAGGATATTTGCTGTTTACTTTTCGAAATTTGACCTAATATCGATAATGAACTCTTCATATTCAATATTGATATTTTTTCAAATCAAAGGTCATGTAATTTAATGCGAGCTTTATCAGTCTCGGAAAGCGTATTTGCATGTGAATTATTTTTCTTTTGCTTTGAAAATTAAGTTGAATTAACTAGTGGAAATTTAATTTTAATGCAGAAATCAGCGAGTGAAGATTGAAATTAAATTTCATTTTTTGCATTAGCATTCTTGCGTTCTTTGCCTTTTAAGTGCTTAGTGCTGTTAATTCTAGGCCAGTAATTATTTTCGACTTTGAATCCCATCATCTGACTATCTGCCTTCATTAAACGAGACTTATACTCTACTTTGATTCCTAGTAATCCCAAATTATTTTTCATCAATGACCCTTAATAAGTAAGTGAATTGAGTTTACAGTTATTAAATACTTTCTAAAAATGCAATCATCATTAAGCAAGCAACATTTTTGAGAAGTCTTCAAGATTACAGCTTGCAAATGCTTTCAGCTTTATACCACAAAATCCGTTCATATTTCTCTTTTTATTTTGTCTTTAATTAATATTGCTTAATTTTTAAGCTATCCAATATGCAAAATGTTTCAGGCAACGAAGGCAGGATTAAAATTGCTTGTTAAGTACAACTATTTTGCATTACTGAAAGTTTCTGATTCCATTAGTACAAATAAGCTCAAATTCTTTAATGAAATTTTAGACCATTTTAAATTACACTGAAGTTGCACCAGTATTTTCTGTAAATCACAGCTGCAGTTACTTGATACTCTGATCACATGGTTTAGTTTTATCAAAGTTTGAAAATTATAGAAAAATTTAGTCATTTTCTACACTCTTTGAATTTTTCTCAGTTTTCTGAAAACGGTCAGCCAAAAAGACTTCATCTTTTAGAAGACAAAAATGCTAGTCTTTACTTCACTTTGTTTGATAGAAATGAGTTCACATTAAACTATATCTAATGATCAAGCGTAATTATGTTGTGTATATCAAATGTTTGACAGAGCTTAAACTTATTAACCAGTGAAGAAAAGAACTGAAATGCTGCGCGAAAATCATCATATGATGTGCAATAAATTTTGTATTTATTTAGCTGCTGCAAGTTTTATAATACTACGTTTAATGAATGATTATCATGAAGCAAAACAAATTAAGCTAATAAATAATTTTTTTTCGGATTTTTTAAATCGAGAATGATTACTTCTCAGCAATTTCAGAATCGGGAAACATAAGCCAGCCATTTTGTTGAGCCCACTTGTAATCAGTATCTGAAAAAAATTGGTACCAGTACAAAATTGCAAAACACGAAATTAAAGATACAAAATACAGTATTTAAGATATAAATATAGAAGAAATGCAAGAAATGAGACAAACAAGGATTAGTACAAAACTAAACATTGCTTGCTTTCTGGATTCGGGAGATATCCATAGATCGGCAGAAAAAATACTCCCACAGAATTCGAAAATTGAATCGTCAATAAAACTGCCAGTAACACAAATGAAAGAACTGACATTTTAATGATTCTTCTGCTGAAAAACTGCTCTTTGAAAGAATAGCAAAAATACGAATTCAAACAATTGATTCGAATAAAGTTTGCATTACTGAAAAACAAATTCTCAGTTGATTTGACAGTTTTAAGAAATATAATTACTCAGTTTTATAAGCGGAAACAGCATTTGTGAACACGTACGGGACGTTATGCCGTGAAAATTGAGTGAGATTGAGCTTCTCATAATCAGGAAATCAAGCTCCACTTCAAGTAACTAAGAAAGATGGACAAGATAATTAAGACGAAAAGTCTTGCTTTAATTAATACTGCTAACAAATTTTTGAACAATCTTAATGAGTTCCGATTCTATGCATGTGTTCATAGATATTGTATTTTCTTGTCTCAGTGGAATCAATTTTTATTAGTGCTATTGAAATGCATATTTTGAGTAAAAGTATGCTATCATCAGACGTAGCGCTTCTCGATCTACTTAAATAGTATTGAATATATAAAATTATATATATATAGTTTATCACTAATCCATATATCACTTTTATAATATAGAAATTGAAAGCACACTTAAAATATTTATGCTAAACTACCAAAATTTTCTATCACTTCAATTTCGCTAGATTTTTATCTTTCAATCAAACTATCATTTCATTTCAGAATTTCAGAATCAATTAATTTCAGAATTTCAGAATCAATTAATTTTTTGGAATAGAATTGCAATGTTAGAAAAAGCTTATTTTCAAACAGAAATTATTTTATAACTTTTATACTAATAATAAACACTTGATTAATAAATTTAATTCGGGAATGAATTATGTAAATTTGTATTGAAAAAATTGCAAACTTTTGTTTTCATAAAGTCTGAATTTGTC